AAGCCGCAACATATTTCAGTAAATATCAAGCGAATTAGCAGTTCTACCTGGGATAACTTTTAAAAAACCATGGCCAACCAAAAGTAGCATGATTTTGAGAAACATTCAAGTAGTGCTGCCCCCAGCAAGAAAACAATGAAATTAAATTCACCAACCTGTGGTCGCCGTGGACGAGCATCACGGACATCATCTTCAGGATTTCTTAATCGCTGTTCGTGGTTTGCCGAAGGATGATTCACTGCAATCGTTCGAAGTATTTTTTCCAAACGTCTATTCAAGATCAACTATTCAAGAGAAGAATTCATTCTCAAGAGGATGCGCCATGCACTCCACGAGGTTCCAGTTGGATGTGCAACTGGTTCACACAAAGACATTTATTTAGGATTCCTACTGAGCTATAGGTCATAGTAGAGTCGAAACACCTTTGCTATGATTTTGAATACAATTCTAATGTGGAGGAGTAGAAAACCCATTCACAAAGCAGGTACGGGCATTTTTATTGATGAAGCAGTACATCTATGAGTAGTGTATAAAATTATATTCTCCAAACTTTGTTCAAAGTAGGGGAAATGTTCAAGCTCCCTCAAAGAAACTACGCCTAGTTTGTTTTCTGTATTGATATAGTACTCTAATGCTGCTTGAACCATTAAAAAACGACTCCTGTGCGCTACTGTACGATACCTTGCTTGACGGTTTTTCGTTATATTTACAACAGATACAAACATTCGTATTTCTACCCATGAAAAAACCTACTCTCTCCCGGTGGTCTCCTCGAGTCTGTAGGTGGTCCCATCCTGTTGTCAGGCAAGCGGTGACCTGGCGGCGGTCCTCTCTGTCGTTGAGGCGCTGGCGCTTGACTTGCCCGAAGATCTACATCTCCAGAAGATCTTGAAGAACTGCCCAGCCGATAATCCTGATCCTGAAATGAAGCCTAGCAAAATTGACCATAAGACCAAGCGATGTGGTAATCTCACAGAACGCTTTCTCCTAGATAGCAATTATCTAGGAGACAGTGAACTGGGAAATTCACTATTGCAGCGTACTTATACCATGGATAAGTGACAATAACGAAAAAGTTGTCAGTTGACTAGATGGAGACTGCCCTGCCCAGCCAAAGTCTTGAACATTCCGATTTCAATTTGAAGATATGTGTGAACTTGTACATGTATAGCTCACAACTCATATTCTTCGCACCGCTTTTCGCAACGCAGCAACACCAAGTAACAGACGAAAACAGTTATCGAACCTGTTCCATATCCTCTTCACTTGGTGGTGGAGCCTGCTTTTGAGCTATTGAAGGCGGCATCGGAACGCCAGGTGGCCATATGCCAGCTGCCGCCAGCATCTGTGGTGTCATACCAGGCGGAATCGCTGAAAAGCATCATTTCAGATAGATATGGTAAGCTACGGAAAATCAAATAACACATACAAGGAGGTAAATGTGGAAATGGAGGTCGTTGAGGTGGCATTGGCAGTGACGCTCTGGGAGCATTCGTTGATGGAGGTCCACTGGAAGTTGATGAGGGCGTTGAATTAGAAGTTGGAGTGGGAGCATTAGAGATCAAAGGTCCGCGATGACTCGGCAATGGTGGTCGTCCTAGAAATAAGGTTACGGTAATTGTCTTACGCAAGGTAGGGAGATACAAGAACAAATTAATATTGCTGACAGGGGAAGCATCCCAGGTCGAACTAAACATCTAAAAATTCTTGATATTGTACCGGTCTACATAGGCGCATTACCTCGTTTTTTTTTCTTTTTGTTTTTATTCCCTTGTTAACTGACGGTTATATTACGACGGCGCCTTGGTGCATCATAAATAAATAAATATTGTGCTGTCTCGGAGCCCCATCAGGTCGAAAATGTTGTATAACACAAAAAAAGCACCAAATTTTTCTTTTTCAAAAGAACTCCAAAAGATAACAAAAACCCCAAATTCTAAAAATTCCGAGGAAAAATCCCTTTGAATTCTTCTGCAATATTTTGGTGCATAACACTTAGATGGTTAATCGTCTAGTCAGGTATTGAGCTGCCTTACGCCCACGCGTTGAGTGATTGAATATTGAATCAAGTTTTTTGGAATTTTGTTACTTTTGGAATTTTTTTTGACATAAAAGATTTTTGGCGGCTTTTTACAACATCTAAAGTGTTCAACATATCACTGACATGTTTTCGGACACACATCCGTATCTTCTACGCATGGAGGCATAAAGATTTTTCATCGCTATTTCAAGGTACGAGTCTACTGGGGCATACTCTGAGGACTGCTAGGAAGGGGCAGAAACTTTGGGGAAAATGAAAAGTGATCGCGCACGATGAAGCCTCCACCATCTCACCGAAGGTTTAAGCTCGTTCTTTTCTAAAGAAAGATGTTCTGCACGATTTTGACAGCGTAGCTTTGCGCAGTCAGTAGTGGCAGTGGATGAAAGGTACCAACCGGTCAAGTTGATGTATTGGGAAGGCAAGACGATCGAGCTCGCGCGTTTGCAGAATCTACGTTGTAGAAATCGGTTACCCTTTCACGTTTTTTCTTTGTTTTTTTTGTGAATTGTCACAAATAATTTCTCCTGAGTGATCCTTCCACCGGTACCACAGTCATCAATCTACAGTATTTTCGAAGAGTTTGAAAGCATTTTTTTTATTTTATGAGTTTGAAGTTCAGGCCCAATATACTATAGCCCATTGATCACTTCTGAAGGGTTCATATCTCCTCTTAGGCCAGAAATTTGCCAGTAGTAAATCGAGATTAGCGTTCGTACATTAGTGATGATCATGTCAGCATATCCGAAAGTTGGGGTAGGTGTGTCACCGGAAGTGACGTGCTTGATAGAAGTTGCGTGGATAAGCTGTTGCCAGCATGCTTTGCTGATAGCCAGCGATGTATGTTGGAAGCAGCTTATCCACATAGCTTCTATCAAGTGCACGTCACTTCCGGTGACACGCCTACCCCAACTTCGGATTGTCAAGTAATGATTTAGAAGCTAACCCTGAGACTTACCAGGAAGGCATTCAACTTCCCATGGAACTTTGAATTGAGACCCAGATATATCGATAGAGCTTCAAACGCTGATTACAAATATGGAAACTAAAACTGCAAAATGAACCTGCCGAGGAAGTTGTGAGCAGGGGCACTATCCACTACTCCACGGCGACTTGAAAGCCTGGAACATAGCACGGTTCATATGTAACGCTTTACTTTAGCCAACTTTGACTGCTCACAACTTCCTTGGCAGGTTCATTTTGCAGTTTTAGTTTCCATATTTGTAATCAGCGTTTGAAGCTCTATCGATATATCTGGGTCTCAATTCGAAAGTTCCATGGGAAGTTGAATGCCTTCCCTGGTTAGACCAATTCCTTCGTAAGAATGGTCTCCCATGTGAAAATTCGACACAGACATTTTGATAGATGACTGACCTTGTTCGCTAGAAGTGACGGGCAATTTTCCAGACGACGACTTTTCATCCATGTTTGAAGAAGGTGTACTAGAGCCTTGAGGCTTCCAACCAGGGGGCATACCTGGAGGAAGAAGGCCAAGCTTCTGTGCACCAGCAAATCCACCAGCAAATCCTGCCGCGATAGCAGCTGCTGATTGGGCTTTCACTGAAAATAGAATTATTTATGGGATACTAAAAACTACGGTTCACATCTTGAGAGATAACACCTCGTCCTTTTTTTATGTGTCACTTCACTCACTCCAAATTGATGGAAGTACAAATTTTGAGCAAACAACTCTTATTGCTACTTCCAGGTTTTGACCTAGAAAGAAGCACGCACAGTTCTACAGTAGAGGCGCTTCTATTGCATACACTCGATTTTCACACACACGCACCTTACGGTATACTCCTACCTCGTTCAAGACCGCGCCTGTACAGGTTTTTGGTTTACGCATTGGAAAATTTTAACAGGATGGTAAGCACTTGAAAAAAAAAACGTTCTGAAATCTTTCCTCTGAAACTAACCCGTCTGTGCGAGCATAGACATTGGAGGAGGCGCCTGACCAAGCAGTCCTTGGCGAGGGCGTTGCTGCTGCGCTTGGAACATTTCCTCCTCAGGTTCGTCATCGTAGTCGTCAACTAATGAAAGTTAATATCAGATGAGACAACAGATAAATCTTACAATTGTAAATACTTACAACCACCGCCTCCTGGCTTCGACACATTCCACATACGCTCAAACTGTCTCTGCGCCTTTTTGGGAGGTGGCTGTTTGATCAACGTCTTTTTCGCTCCGATATTTGCGTTGTGCTGAAAGATAACATCACGAATCGAATTGTTGCACCATTCACTTAGGAATTTAAAAGAATAGCTCGAGCAGATGAGGCATCCCAAATTTGACATTTCCTAGAAGCTCTCTAAGCGGCAGAATCTTCTACAAATGTTAGGTGATGAAACAGATTTCTACAACCCTCAGAATGCATGGTATGCTCTACTTCGATACCAATTCTGCTGCAAGCGTTTGATCTGGTGAACACTATTAACCGTGAATAGAACTAGCCCCATATGACAAACCTGATGCCGTGCATTCAAATCCTCTGGCATCAAGAGCATTGTATGGTGGGCAGTAGCTGGATTAGATGTAATGTCACGATTCATTTTCTCAACGACTTCACCATCGAGACCCATTCCTTAAAGTTTTCAAAGTTAGGATTCTCTCGCTTCAACGGCAATTTTGGCAATTGAACACGTCGAAAATGGAACGTACTTATGGTAGTTGGTCAAATAGTAATGGAGAAAAACAAAAAAGCTAAGCATCTTCAAACCACCGATGCGCCTTTCACAAATGCTGACGCGATTAGAGACATATGAGGATTCGAAATGATATTCAGCTAGTACTAAGTTCAAGCCTTCTTTTGCCTTCTGATTTTCGCGAATGAAAGATTCGAAATAGAGTGAATTACCAGGAATAACTGGAGCAAGGTATTTCCTCGTCGAGAGTACAGAAAAAAAACAAAATGTGCTTTTGGGCTCGCGTTCATTAGTCAATGCCGCTAATCCTTCAAATGGTACAGATGTCTTCGAAACAATTGTAATGATTGGGTGTTAATGGAACATTACAACAGCATTAGGATGAACATTTAAATTAAAGTATTAGGTTGGCAAGAAAGTTCTGCGACATTCTTTCAAATTTTTGTTTTTAATTTTCTCTTTTTTGTTTACAACTCCTGACCGCTCTTGTATCTACCATGAGTGTCCTCCGCTTGTCTTCAACGCTCAAAAAATTTCTTGATGCTCCTTTGCCAAAACCCAGCGGAGTGCGAGTCGAGAAAGGAGGCGACCTCACTTTCGAGTTGGAGTTGATCGTCTGATTATTTCGTTATAAAGATGATGATTAAAGGTCCAGGATAGGTAGCACTTATTTACAGCTCGACCAGGGGATTACGCTAAGAGAGGAAAGAAATCTTGCCGCAACTCCAGAATTTCTTACCGGGCTCATTTCGGATCATGGTGATTCGCAATGTCATGAAAGAAATGAATATTGTCGCGGTACGAGGGCTCTTGACGAGCTACCTCGGCCAGCTTCTGGTACTCCACAACCTAGGCCACTGCCTACACAATGGTGCCCATAACGAAGGGTATGTAGTGAGCTTCTGTAGGAGCCCTTCCTGTAATGGAGTGTGTAGGACGCTGCTGGCCTCTTATGAAAATATCAAAAGATCGAAAGCGCTGATAAAGCTCAAACACGCTGTAGCGGTGCACGACATGCCTATTGAAGCGATTGCAGATAGTGTTGGTCTTTGACACGAATCCACAGTTATGGAGACATTTTGTACTAGACAGTGACTCGGAGTGTGGATTTACCAGTGGTCGGGTTTTTTGAATTTTCTTGGATAACTACTGACTGCAGCACTTAGATCCACCTCGTGGATTGAAGCCACGAGAATGTTCTACCATTTGTTAGTCATAAATGTTACCTATTGATTTTTCAAAAAGAAAAGAAAATTTTAGAAAGAGTGTCGCAGAACTTTCTTGCCAACCTAATAGAATTGGGAAATACCATATTTGGTCGTGAATGAAGCTAGTCCAAATATATCCTCTTGAGTATCACCAGGTCGGTTTCGGGCCCAAAACTTTGTATTGTTGTCATTCGAACCTGTACAATCAATGTTTTGAAATGTCGTAGAAGTCAAATTGGTAACACACTGCATGAACAATTACCTGTTGCCAATATATGGCCCATGGGATGAAACTTCATGGCCCAAACAGCTTGATCGTGAGCATGCTCGAGGAAGGCAACCTCCTGAAAAGTGATTTGTAATGGTACGTTCAACTGAAAATTAATTTAATTAATAAAGGGTGCCAGACAGGGGCAGTTCGTTTATCACCAAATTTTAGACACCCCTTGAGTTCGAAAAAAGTTTAGTGCTTTGAGCAATGCATTCGTAGAGGATTCCTATGAAAACTTGGTGCCATATTGGCGGGGGTCCACGCAGCATGAAAACAGGAAGATAAACTATAGTCATGACTTATTAATAACCTCTATTCTCATCACAGAGAGCCAGCAGATCCCACACATACTCATATCTGATTTCTTACGCTATTCGCCGATAATCTAGCCTATCATTTCTCGAGGAAGCTAATATTTGCTGCATAGTGCTTTTGAGCATGCGCAGTGAGGCCCAGAAACCTTATAGCAACCGTAACTAACCTTCTCGTTCTCTACTAGCCAGTAGGCGATAGAACCATCTCCTCCACCAGACACAAAAAGCCCTTCATGAATAGGGTGCCAGGAGATTGCTGTAAAACTCAAATAGAATTAAAACTATCACTATAAAGTCTCAAGAGAAATGACAAGAACATGTGATGAAGAAATAGAGAGAAAAGAGAGAGGGAGAGAGATAGACTTTAGATCCCAGCTACGCAAAAGTTTTCTGTTTTCTTGGGTAAAGGATAAAGTAGCTGTAACGTGAAAACTGTTATGAGACTGAACAAAATCCATTAGCTCACTTACAAGTGACTTCTTTCTTGTGGCCTTTGTAAGAGTACATCTCTTTCATAGTGCGCAGATCATAGAGTTTGACAAGATGATCACGACCCGCCGTCAGCAGCCAGTTACCGTTTCGGTTCCAATCAACGGCCATTACGGAACTTTTGTGATCCTGCCTGTAGAGGATGACTTTCAAGAACAGTGTCGAACATAGTAATTTAAGTTGTTACAAAAACTCTTACAATGTCGTCAGACAGTCTCCTGTCCTCGGATCCCACAGCTTCACTGGTTGCTGAGAATCCCTCGAACCTGTCACTATCATTCCCTTGAATGGATGCCAGGCAACACATCTTACCTGAACGGTCGCTGCATTGATTAAGGAGGCTTCATCGAAAGAAAGCCAAGCACAACTACTCAACAAAACATTCGGAGAAAAGATCACGGTTCATGAGCTTCCAACTACAGTTAATTAGTTTTGATTTCAAGGTTTTCTCAAAACTGTAACCCAGAAGAGCTCTGTGCTGCAGAATTTGAAAACTAACCTCCGACCCATGACCACGCATAGCTCTTTCTTCCACACATCTAGCAAAATCCCATATACGGACTGTCCCGTCGTCAGATGCGGACGCTAATTTTACATCAGTTGGGGCGAACCTATATGACAATTGTTCCTTCCAGGAAAAATAGATACAAATCATTACGAGACAATAGTCCGTCGGTGACTCAAAAGCAATATCTTCCACCCTAAAACTTACGATAACCCTCTAACGGGCTCATCTTTATGTGCCTGATACATGTGAACATTGTTCATGTTTGGTTGCCAATACTTTATGAATCCTTCGTGATCTGCTGAGACCAACCACTGCTCGTTGTGCGACCACGTCATGGCTCGTATA